CAGAAAGTGTGCTGGTTTGCAAGGGTGCTGGATAAACAAGTGCCGGATTAGAGAGGGACGACTGTACTGTGAATAGGGGAATTTTCGGTGGTGAACCGAGAATTTTTGGTGTAATTATTTCGGTATTTCCCTAAATCAACGGTTCAGTAATGCGAAAATTTCGGTAAACCAGTTTTCCACATCCAAAAATGCATTTTGTACACTTTGTGACATGGCACGGTTGAATTTTAGGTTGCATTTTGTTTTAGGTGAAAAAGTGAAAAAGTCCTGTACCGAAGTTATTACCGAAAATATATTTCCACCGAATTTGTCTGGCTATTCACAGTACAGTCTGTATCGGCTATAGAGTGACCGGATATAAGAATATATCGGCTACAGTGATATTGGTACGAAATATCAAAAGCAAAACGTATTTTGTCCACTACAAAATATCACTATAACCAATATTATCGGATGTAATGATATATCGGATATTATGATGGCAACAAAGAATCAAAACATGCATAACACACGATACTATTATCGGCTATAGTGATAACTTTAAATACATGTAGCAATAATATCAAAGTCCCTATTTGTTTACTCTCTTGTATTTGTATTTATATCATTATCTCATGGCACATCATGATGACGGCCAATAAAACTGAGACAAGGGTGAAAGCCAACCACAGCAGTAAAACAGATAAAAGAATACAAATAAGAGGCAAAGAAGGCAAAGGAGGAGACAAACCAGCAGGATATACATGAAACCTATAATTGAGCAGAGATTTTAGCAACAAAATTATCCATCGACGTGCTGGTCTTGGCCTGCGTTGGTAATGTTGCCCAAAACACATAGCCAGCAAAGATCGGGGATCTAGTGAATAGGGTGGAGGCAGCGCGTGGGAGACTGAGTGAGTTCCGGGTGTTCCGTGTTTCGGAGAACCAATTATAAGCCTGCATATGCAAGGGTATTTTATTTAGTAATATTTTATGTATGAGAACACAGAGGTGGTACTTATGTCGAGTGGAAAGGGGACTGATCTTGGCAATTTCGTAAAGACTAGCGGAGGGAAAGCGACGATCTTTGCTAAATAAGATTTTAAGGAGCATGCGGTTATGGGTTTCTAGCTTGTTCAATACAGTAGTAGTTATGCCACACCAAGCAGTATCACAGTAGTCAAGTAAGGGCAATATATAGCAACGATAAAACAAGCGTTTGCAAGAAAGAGGAAGATGTCTACAGTGGGCTTGAAGAGCCCCAAGGATGGAGCTTGTGCGCTTGCAGACATACTGCACATGGGGT